ATCTCAGCCCCCACATACATCTGGGAATGCCATCCAGTGCACAGGCATCAGCAATTGAGGAGACCCAGTCCCAACATATGCATGTGGTCCAAGGTCAGACCACAAATCCCGTGATCCTCCCTGTGGCTGCAGTTTTGAGTCCAGTGTCCAGTTTCCCCAAGAAACCTCACCTGGGGTGATCCCGGACCTGACTCTTGCATGTGTCAGCCAGTACAGGGTCTGGTTCAGTCATCACCCACATTGGCCTATGCATACACTGGTGTTTGTAGTTGCCTGGTCAGTTCCATCCTCAGCCTCATGTCCTTTGCAAACCTATGGGTGTTGCAGCTCAGCCCAACCCAGCCTGCCATAGACCTGGCCCTTATGCCCAGCAATAAGAACTGCAGCCTAGTTGAGGTGACCCCCAGTAACCCTTACTAGGCCTGCCCCCATCCCCACTTTTTGGCATGCCAATGGTCGCTGCAGCCCCGCCTGGGCCAGCCTGCTCCCACAGTTATACTTGCTCACCAGGGAGGAAAGTGGTTCAGCAGGGAAACCCCCACAGTCCCCCAACAAAGTCTGCCCCCAGCCTGGGGTTTTGTGTGTACAGTGGCCCAGTCTGGCATGGCTCATCTCACCTCAGCATTTGCCAATGGATATTGCAGCCTGGCTCTGACTGACTTGCCTCCAGTCTCAGCTCATGTTAGGGAGGTGCTATAGCCTAGGGCAGCCAGACCAGCCCCCAGTCCCAGCCCTAATATGAACTGTCAGGTGTTGCATCCCAACCTGCACTCTATCCTGACTCTTGCACCTGCTAGCAGGTGTTACAGGCTGGCCCAGTCCAACCCACCCCCAGAATTGACCCGCATGTATGCCGACCAGGTGCTGTAGTCCAGCCTGACTGGATTGCTCCCAGCCTTGGTTCCTGTGATCACCAGGTGGCATTACGTCTTAACAGGAGAGTTCCCCAGGTCTGGTATGGTCATGCGGCTTAAGTCCTTGTGACTAAAGTCCTTGCCTTGCTTGTGGTCAGGATCCCATATGGGCACCAGTTCCTGTCCTGGCTTTTCCACTTCCCATCCAGCTCCCTGCTTGTGGCCTGGGAAAGTAGCCGAGGATGGTCCAAAGCCTTGGGACCCTGTACCCCCATGGGAGACCTGGAAGAGGTTCCTGGTTCACGGCTTCGGATCGGCTCAGCTCTGGCCATTGAGGCCACTTTGAGAGTGAATCAGCAGATTTTTTTCTCTCTCTCCTCTCTGTATATCTCTGCTGGCTCCTGGCTTTGATTTGGCCCAGCACCACTCTTGTGATCACTTGGGGAGTGAATCATCGGATGGAAGATCTTCCTCTCTGTCTCTCCTCCTCTCTGTATATCTGACTTTGTAATAAAAATAAAAAATTGTTTTTTTTAAAAATGCTGACATGTGGGTTAGGGTGGGAGGATGGGGACGGTGGCGAACAGAAGAGATTCCGTAACCTTCCGGTTGGATCCTCAGCCAAACAGACCATCCCCAAGAGCACCCCCAGGACCCTTAGAACACATTAGAACTGAAAAACCCTAGCAGGACACCTGGCTCACTTTCCAGGGTGTGGGGGTAACAAAGGCCATTTTGTTTCATTACAGGTGTGTGTGTGCACGCGCACATCCAAAGCATGGGATGGAAAACAGATAAGAAACAGAGACAGAGAGGACTCCCACTGGCTGGTCCATCCACACATGTTCACAGCGGCCAGGGCTAGACCAAGCCCTAAGCCCCTAAGCCAGGAACTGAATCCGGGCTTCCCACGGGGGTAGCAAGGATCCAGTGCCTGAGCTCAGCTGCCTCCCAGAGTGTGCACTGGCAGAAAGCTGCAGCCGGCAGTCAGAGCCAAGGATTAGACTCAGCTATGGGATGCTGGCACGTATGCCACCAGGGCCGTCTGCCAGCGTTAATCCACTGGAGGGACTGGAGGCTGCTGTTCTGGCACAAACAGGTGGATACAACAGAGAGTCACTCCACCCAGAGTCCAGGAAGCCAAGTCCCACCCAGAGGCTGCAAAGGTAAACAGTTCCTGCCTGATTTTGGGGGTCAGGCAGAGTACACCGTTTTCTAGCTGGGGAGACTCCAGGTGAGGCGCCTGATACCCAGAAATCCCCACTTTGTCTCCCAGGCAGGTGGGGGATACCCAGAGCTATGCTGCTGGGGCTGGTTGGGACACCCCCTTTTGATTGCCAGGCAAACAACTGGCCCTGGAAGAAGCAGGAGGTCCCCTGCAGTAGCCTGGATGGTATCGGCTCTTGGGGACCTGAGGGGACAGCGCTAGCTGTCCCCCACCAGCTCATGTTTGTGCCCCTGGCTAAAGTACTGTCTTCACCCCAGCATAGAACCAGACCTCCAGGAGAGAGAAAGAACAAGGCAGCAGCCAAGAGGCAGGAGGTCCAGGAGAGGAAAAAGAAACGAGTTTTATTAAAGCCCCAAACACTCGGCTAGAAAAACCAAAAAGGAGAGAGAGCAGGGAGAGAAGAAGAGACATTAAAAAAGAGACAGAAAACACAGCAACCCTTTCCATTTAGAAATTGTCAAGTTACACTGACAGAGGTCACAGAATATCCACAGAAGCCATCACTGACATCAAACGGGCCCTACGGGGTGGACGGGGGCGGGTGTGGAGCCAGGGCTCGCCCAGGGGGTCCTCACCGGTACCCCATTCAGAGCCTGGAGCCTGAGGCCCCTGGGAAACAGTATATTGTGGAAGGAGTGGGAGAGGAGCCCCCGCCCCCCCATGCGAGTAACACAGCACAGTGGGTGGGGGCTGAGGGACCGGATACAAGGGTCCCCCGGAGGTCTTTTCTCTTGGTCAAGCACACATTCATTGATGGACAGAGCAGTGAGGCGCATGCAGCTGGAGTTGGGGGAGAGCATTGACGTGCTGCTGGGGCAGGGTGCAGGAAGGGAGCCGGAGTGAGTGGTGCGGGACGATTGCACACACACACACATATGCACGCACACACAAAGACACTCCCACACGCCAGGGTCTGCACCAGTACACTTAGACCAGTACACACACTGTATGCCCCTCCATGTCCGTACAACATGTGTCTCAAAGCTGCACAGGTGTGCTATCACACTCACAGCTCCTCTCGCAGGAACACACAGGTAAGTACATGCCGAGACCCAGACAGGGCGCACACACCTGCGTGCACAGGCCTCCTCCATACACGTGTGGGGTCACCTCTGTGCATGCATACACACACACACACACACACACATTCACGCAGGCTGCACACGCAGGTGCCTCCTAGTCCATCCATGTGCAGGAAGCAAAGTGTGAGACTCCTGGAAGCCTCCCAGGCTCCCCCGGAGTGAGTGGCGTGGAGCGTGTCTGCCTCCTTCCACCCCTTCGGAGTTGGTCACGTCCCCCATGGGGCCCCTCCCCTCACACAGAGACGTGGACTCCGGACGATGACAGGCAGGGCACACGTTCAGGTCACAGGGCCGGGGCTGGAGGTCAGGGGACTGGAGGGTAGGCAAGTGAAGAGAGGCAAGCAAAGAGGAGTGGAAGGAAGAGGGGGCACCACTCCCCTCCCCGCCACATCAGGGTCTTTGTACAGCCAAATCAAACTGAACCATTTCACTGGACCACAGGAACCGGGCGGATGAGCCCATCCCCCAGCCCCTCCCCCGCCGACACAGCAGGGAGAGTGAGCTGTGGGTCTTTTTTCTTTTTAAATATTTATATATATTTATATTACGTATATTATATATATAATATGTAAATATATTTTTAAAACAATATAAAATGTTAAGACACTTCACTTAAATGTAAAGAGTTGCCTGCAATTAGAAGTAATTGCATCATTCATGAGGTTCTTTTTTTTTTTCCCTATATTCCGGGGTATTTTTTTTTTCAGGAGGGGATTTTTTTTTTCCTCTTCTTTTGTTATTTTTCAAAAAGGCTTGCCTGCCTTGGTACAAAAATGATCCAAAGCTAGAAAATAAGGACAAACCAACAGAAAAAAAAAAAAAAACGAGAGAGAGAAAGAATGATATGAACACAGCCCAGCTCCCACACCCCGCCCCCCCAAGTGCTCCAGGCGCTCCCTGGCCAGGCCCGGGGCTTCCCGGGGTGCTGCCCCCCACCCCTGTGCTTTCTAAGCCTTGTGCTCCAGTCAGAACCCTGCACCGCCCCCACTCCATCCCTGCCCCCAAGTCTCCCTGCCAGCCCCTTGCTGTGCTTTCTTGGTGGAGGGTGTCAGGGACCCTCCCTCTCTCCAGGACCTGTTAGGGACAGACCTGGGCCAGGCAGGGCCATCCCAGGGGGCACTGAGTGGGCTAGCTGGTGGCGCATCGGGGTTCCTGGCCCCCAGACTCCCATTCACAAGCCCCATCCTGTGGCTTCCCCGAACACCCAGGCAGAGGCCACCCTCCCTGCCGCGCCACCCCCCCACATTTCCCTCAGCCCTCCCCACCCGCAAGGCCCCCTCGGTCACGCCCACCCCACCCTTGTAAATAAATTAACAGCATCAAAAGTGCTCCAATAAGGAAACCAGAAATACCGAAGCCCCCTGCTCCAGGGGCTACCCTCGCCCAGCCTGTGCCCCCTATGTGTGCGAAAAGTGGCAGCCGCAGCCACAGTCTTGTCCCAAGGGGCGTGTCCAGTCTGTGTCCTCTCCCTGGGCTGTGTCCGGCAGGGGCTGCTCCCATGAGGCGTGGTCCTCCAGGAAGGTCCAGCTTGGGGGTCACAGCGGAGGCTCCCGGTGGTGGCGAGGGGAAGGACGGTGGGTGGGGCAGAGCCGCAGTGTGGACTGGGGAGGGAGAGCAGCTGACAGAGAGGAGGGAGACCCCGAAATGGGGGCACCAGGAGCAGGAGGTGAAGAGGTGAGGGGCAAGGTGTATTTGGTTTTTACTTGTATTACTTTGTTTCTTAAAAAAAAAAAAGATAATTAAAAGTGAATCATTTAAAAAACCAAAAACACCAAGAGGTGACAGGATACAGGGCCTTGGGGGGTGGGGAGCCTAGAATGAGGAAAGGGCTGTTGATGACGGGAAGAGGAGAGGGTGGTGAGGTGGGCGCACAGAGGCTTCTAGAAGGAAATGGAAGAATTTCTGGTCCCAAAGGAAGTCAATACGGGGATGGAGGTTCTGGAGGCGGAGGGCTTTTCTGAGACTGGGCTCAAGGTCTCATTTGACCCACTCGTCTCTTTGGATGGTTTAGCGGCCTGGAACAAAAACAGGGATCAGCAGTCAGAGAGAGGAAGGGACAGCCCTGTGGGCTCCCCGTCCCCTGGCACCTCCGCTGAAGCTTAAAAAAATAAAGAGGAAAAGACCACTAAGACAAGAACCAAGGGCTGTGTGGATGTGTGGAGACAGCGTCCTGGTGGGGAGTGGGGGCGGCGAGGGTGCAGGGCTGGCCTCAATGGCCTGGAAGGCCGATTCCCCATTACTGACAGGAAGGACAGAGGACCAAAGAGAAAGCAGACAAGGACAGGAGACCAGAGTGGGGAGGGCGGAGGGAGGGGGAAGAAATAGACACCAGCAGTGCCAGGGCCAGGCACATGCCAGGCGAGAGGCAGGTAGGGGCTGACGGGCACAGCCCGGGTGTCCCCGCACTGCCCTCCCTTCCACCTACAGAACAGGAAGCCCTGCTGGGACCCTGCCCTCCCCAGCAAGGGTTCCACCAGTTCTGAGTGTCCCATGTTGACGACAACAGGTCCTTGCTAGGAAGATGCTCCTTACCTGCAGCAGTCCCCGGGGTCTGTGTCACCACCCCCCCCCAAACCCTTGACCTCCAACTTTTGGAACTTTGGTCTCCAGGGAAGTCTGCCTTTGTGGAGTTGACAGGTAGCAGGAGTTAGAGATGCACGCAGGTGCCTGCAGTCCCCTGTTCCAGAACCCAGCTCCTGTGTGGCCTTGGGGGGTGTGCACCTCAAGCACAGACTAGGGTGACTGCTGTACACCTAACCCTGTGATCCATGGGCCCACAGAGAGGCTGCCCGCCCGAAATGGTCCTCTCCTTCCTGTGGCTTTGCTCAATCTGGAGTGTGACCACAGATACCTGCGGCTCATCACTGGAGGCCCTGCCAAGGGTAGGGCTGCTCCACCTCCTGTGGGCCTGTATTGTTCCCCAGCTGCCAGGTGTGCTCTCCTGGGTACCTGGCAGGGCTGCAGTGGGTGCTGGGTGGGGATGGGAGGATACAGAGCCAGCCCTGCCTCCAGCAGCCTGTGGGAGAGGATGCCCCTTTGTACATGGGTACACCAGGGGGCCTGGTTAGTGGCTCCTCTGGGCTTTGCCGGCCATGCTGCAGTGTGCCCCGTGATGATCAAGGCTGAAGCCCTGTTTTCTTTGCTCTGAGCTGCCCAGTCGTCCCTCACAGGGGTTCCCAGCCATAGGCTCATTGGTCCTCTACTGACTTCCATGTATCAGGCACTGGTTGTACCCTCCTGGGGCTTCAGGCCCCGGGCCAGTCACTAAAAGGCAGCTGAGAGCCCTCATTTTGTCACTTACCTGGGCTCAGGCCTGCCCTCCCCGGCTCTAGCATTTTCCATTTGAAGTTCTTTCTCTCAAAGCCCTCATGTTCCTGGCAACTTGCCACATCCCCACGCAAGGTTTCCAGCCCCTCCTGGCTCTCCTTTGTTCCCCACCGATCTTTCTAGTTAAAAGCTTTCTCTGTTCCTTCCCTTTGGTGCGTCTCGAGAGCCCGTCTATTCCAAGCTTTGGTCTCTGGAGCATCTGCCCTGCCCGGCCCACAATGTCCCCAGAGTCCTGAATTTACCTTTTTCTTCCCCCACACGGTAGGAGGTGCCAGGTGCCTGCCCCTTCTGCAGGGCAGACATCTGTCCTGCACAGTGCTCTGGGTCTCCCTCCCTCCCAGGAGCCTCCAGCCACAGCATCCCCCAACTCTGCCTTCCTGAAGTTGCAGGAGCAGCTCCAGCCATTCTGGGCTGCTTGGGGTTCAAGGAGACACAGCTGTCTACTGTTGGTTTCTGCCAGTCCTCCCCTGGTGGTCTCAACTGTGTCCAGAGAGGAATTTTGTCACCTTTGTGTCAAAGTAGACACCCTGACCGGTGTTTATTTGAAATCTGGAGTAGCTGTGCCACACCTGGCTAGGTCCCAAGGGGTGAACCCACACACCTGCCTCTTGCTTTGGGGGCAGAGGTTAATCACAGCAAGCTGCTGTGTGTCTTTTCAAGGCTGTTGGCTGCCTCCTTCCGTGTCCCCCAGGGATGAGCAGGTGCAAGGAGCTGTGACTGCAGCCCTCATTCCCCCCCCCAGGGAGGGCAACATCCCTGGCTTGTTCCCTCAGCCTTCTGGAATGGTCTTTTCATGACATCTCCAAGGTGACACAGCAGGTGCTCTAGAGATTTCTCAGCTGTGACAGAAAGGGGTGTTCTTGGTTTTCCGTGGACAGCAAGCCCTTGACCTTTGCTCCCTGCCCCCTCCTCCCCTCTTCTCATCAGTGTCAGAGGCGTCAGAAGGAAACAGCCTGAGTGGGGCGCCTCATCTTCAGGGAGCTCTTCCTGGAACCCTATTTCTGTCCCCACCATACGGAGTAACCAAGAACCTGATATAACAGGACGATTTCTACCATGCCACAGGCAGAGCTGCTGTGCCAAGATGTGCCAGCCCAGCACCAGGGTGGGCGTGCGAGGTGAGGGACACCAGATCACATGACCGACTGACCAAGGCTTGCCAAGAAGGGCCCCAGCTGACCTGTGAAGGGAGCAAGGTTGTCACCCAAAAGGGGCTGCCGAGCACAGGAACTGTGCATGTGGGCAAGCAAGACAAGCCCCGAATGTTCCTGAGACCCCGTCCCTCCTCACAGGATCTGGAAAACAGCTTGGAGGTGTTAGAGTCACGGGACTCCCAGAAGGCCTTGCGTCTGGGCAGGGAGCCTCACTGTCCATTCCCCTGATTCCACAGACGTGACCTCACGTTCAGATCTGTCTGCTAGAAACAAGGAAGAGGCCTTTGAATGGCAGGCTGTGGGAGTGACGGCTATGGCCAGGCCAGAGCCAGGGAAGGGAGGTTGGCTGAAGCAGGGGGACACTGCCTGCAGACACAGTCAAATGGGGCAGCGACAGGCTGTAAGGGCAGGGAGACCCTGCATCGAGATGGGCATTGTCTCCAAGTGTGGAAGCAGGTGCGTGTGTGGTGTGCACAGACGCCAGGCTGGTGGGAGGGGGGGTCTGTAGACAGGGAAGGGCCAAAGGGGTCAGTGAGGTTGCCAGGAAGATACGGAACTCAGGCTGCAGTGGGTGTAAGAAGGAGGCCCCCCAGGACCTCATCAGGACCTGGGGGAAGTGGTACCCAGCCCAGGGTGGGCAGAGGAGCGAATGGAGGGCAGGACACAGGCTCTGCAGTGAGGGAGGGGCCTGGGGAGGGGGTCACCGTCTGCATCCTGCTCTCCTTTCTGCTGGCTGCACTGCCCTGGGGAACCTCAGTGTTCTTACTGCTGCAAGGTGGGAAATGGGAAATGAGGGGCACATGTGCTTGGCACAGGTAAGTACCTCCCCACCCCACCCCACAGTATTCTGGACACATAGGAGGGACCAGTGGGGACAGAGCAAGGGACACACTTAGAGAGGCCTGGGGATTGGGGGTGTTTGGGAACCACAAAGAAGGTAGAAGTGACAAGAGGTCGGGGGTAGGGAGGGGAGGACAGACTATGACACACCCTCCCGGGAGCTGCAGGCAGGCAGGGCCCTGTGCACCCAGGCCTGTCCCTGCCAGGTGGTAAGGAAGGCCTTTGGGGATGAGGGTCCCAGCCCTGATGCCACATCGTGGTCCACCTCTAGGGAAACCCTTGTCTCACTCTGAGCTATCATCACCTGGAAAAGGTGGCTGGACACGCCCACCTCTACCCACAGGCCTCTGAGCTTAAACTGCCAGCAGCCAGAGCCCATGGCATTCCACAGCCCCAGGAGCGCCCCCATGTGGGAGCCTGCAGAAACTCCCTCAGGGCATGCTGTACCCCTTGCTGGGTCTCACCTGGGTTGTCAACAAGGGGCCCCCAAGTCCACAAAAGAGGCTTGCTACATCACTCCCCAGACCTGGGAGCCACAGAATGCCTCCTGTCATCTCCCCCTAGCCCCGGCAACCATCCGTAGTGAAGCTGCGGATCTAAGGTTGAACAGGACTTCCTCAGCTGGGGAGCTGGGAGCTAGGCTGAGATGGCAGCTGGGGACCCCAAAGGGCAGAAGGGGACACAGGGCCCACTTCTGCAGCCCCAGGGAGGCGGGCTGTAGGAGGGGCAACCATGGGCATCCGCTTGTTTTCCCGGCCCCGCTGGCCCTGAGAGAGCTGGCTTGGAATGCTGGTGCAAAGCCCTGAAACCGGGGAAAGAGGGTGGCTCCGAGGACAGTCCTGGAGGATCCGGTGGGCACAGGGGTAGTGGCAGGGGATACACAGCCCTTCAGCCCCACCCTCACCTGCTGCGGGGCCTGGGTCCTCAGGTACTCCGCCCGCTGTTTGCCGTGCTTGCTCTTGTCCGGGCTGCCCGCCTGCGCCTGCGCTGCCTTCAGCCGAGAGGTTCCTGGGGTTACCACCTTCATGGGCGGCACGCTGCCACCACCACTCTGCAGGAAGACAGTGCAAGGTTAGATGGGTCTGGCAGAACCCTAAGTTCCTGGAGGGGCTCTAGTCTCTAAGATGGGGCCTTTTCAAACTTGGAGACCTTTCCCTGGCTCCAAAAACCAAATGCAGCTTTTGGGGCTCCCCTCCAGTGGGGTGGTCCCTAGCCCCAGGCCAATGCCCACCCAGCAGGGGGTGCCATCCCCAGAGCAGAGCAGGAGATGGAGGTGAAGTTTGGCCCTCCTAGCCCCCCAGAGGGGATCTCAGGGGGTTTAGAGGTGCGAGCAGAGAAATGACAGACAGAGTCAGAGACGGGGAGGGAGTGCAGCCGGGCAGGGGGAGAAAACTTTATTTACCGGTTCACAGAAACAGAATGGAGGGAAGAGGCCCTGTCTTGCCAAAGCCAGGAGGGCCAAGCATCGGAGAGCTGGCTTCCCAGCCTCCCCGGGGCTCAGCACACATACCCTGGCCAGGTGCCTGGTTCCCTGGAGGGCAGCAGGAGCAGAGAGCAGGCCAGAGGGAGGAGGGGGCTGGCCCGGGCCACCCCCCGCCCTCCAACTCTGAGGACAGACAGCCCTGGAGCAGGAAGGCAGCAGGAAGGCCACTGTGGAGGCAGCCACCTGGGGGCTGAGGGGCAGGGGCAGGGAGCGACCAGGGGGTCCAGCCGTGGGGGCTCTGCGCATGTCACTCAGGGTAGCTTCCAGCTCCCGCAGGGTCTCCTCCAGGCTGTCCATGCGCTGCAAGGCGGCGCCCTGATCTGCGTGGCGGGGGCTGGCAGCAGCTTGTTCCTCACCGCGGATTCCAGCATCAGGCCCAGAGTCCTTGGGGTTTTCCTCCGAGCGAGCCCCAGCGGCAGAAGGCTCCTGTACTCCTTCCAGGGAGGATCCCCGCGGACACAGGACCCCAGCTCCTCCACCCCCTCTTGCCCATCTCTCCAGAGCTGCACCTTCTTCTTCCTCCATCTGGGAAGCCACTGCCGCCAGCCCCGGCCAGGCCTGTGAGCCACTCCAGCCCTTCCCCCTGGTAGCCAAGGTCCGGGGTTGGGGGATCAGAGCTGTGCTGGCTCCTGGTAGGGAGCCGGTGTTGGGCACACACTCGGTCAAGGTGATCCGAGGAACACTGAAGGCACCGGGTCCTGCGGCAGCCTAGGTGGGGAAGGAAGGAAGAGGAGGAAGTGTGGGGGGAGGGGGCTTGGAGACAGATGAGTCCAGCCCCTCCACACTCGGGATGCCCAGGAAGTTCACAGCAAAGCCAGGTCTTGAATTCAAGACCTTGGGAAGGATGCTGTGGCACAGTAGATGAAGTTGCTGCTGGGGACTCCAGCATCCCATATGGGATTGCCAGTTCTAATCCTGGCTGTTCAGTTTCTGACCCAGTTTTCTGCTAATGCACCTGGGAAGGCAGTGGGTGATGGCTCAAGTACTTGGATCCCTGCTACCGAAGCCAGACAACTGAATAGAGTTCTGGGCTCCTGGCTTTGGCTTGGCCCAACTTCTGGCTGTCTGGGGCATCTGGGGAGTGAATCAGTGAATGGAACTGTCTCTCTGTCTTTCAGATAAATAAATCTCCATACTTCGGGTCTCTTTCCATGTTATCCCTCAGGCCTCCTCCTTCCTACGGAAGCGTATCTGGGCCTTCGTGGGGCAGATCTCAGGCCTACTGCTCATCTGTGCAATGGGATGATGACAGTGTGGTTTGGTGCAGAAGTAAATGAGCCCACGTGCGCGCCTGCCCAGTGTGGGGGTCCAGCCAATGTGAGCCCTTTTAGAATGGACTGGAATGATGAGGCCTCACGCCCTGGGTGGGCAGAGGTCCCACATCAGCCTCTCAGGGTGGGGTGGGAACCCCCATATCAAGCCTTGGCTCTGCTCCATTCTTGTGAGCTTTCTCCAAGGGCTTCACTGCCACAGCACGCCTAGGCAGGGCATCAGAGAGCTTGCAGGGGCCCCACTCTCAGTCCCTGCCCCAGCTCCGGCAAGCCTGCTGGAGTGCAGAGTGTTGGCTCCACCCTGGGACCACCAGATCTTCACCATTACAGCTGCTGGGGGTTGGGGAGCTTACACATGGTCACCCACTCATGGTAGCTGAGCCAGGACTGGAACCCAGATAGTCTGAGCCCAAGTCTAGTACTCTTTCCACCAAAAGGATTTAGGGGCAGATGCATGGGGGATAGCAGGACTCCCCCACCCCTCCTTCCTACCCGATCCTTGCCACCAGCTTACCTGGCAGTGGGGGCTGCAGGCTGGGAGGCCGGGAGGACACCCCCTGCTCGCCTGGCTCCGTAGCCCAATGGTGCCTCGGGTGCAGAGGGTCAGTGAGGCCCACAAGTCCAGAGAGGGAGGGGTCTTGCCCCCCTGGGTGCCCCCGGGATGGGTTCCCGAAGCCAGAAAGTGGCAGGGGCAGTGTGCCAAGGACGCCAGCAGCTCGCAACAGGAGAGGAGTGTGTCCCTTCCACGGGGCTCCTCCCCTGAACGGTCCCTGGATGCTTCTGCTGCCTGCTGCCTGGCAGACTGCACTGCCCACATCACCTGCCCCCAACCCTTCCAGGTAACCAGGCCACCAGGCCTGCAGCAGGGCTGGGGATCAGGCGGCTGCCAGCATGTAGCCCACGGAGGCCCTGGGGAACCAGATACGGCAGGCAAGGGCATGTGTGCAGCAGATGCTCTGCCCAGAGCAGAGGTTTTCTTGTCCCAACCTAGCCTCTCCCATCCTCTCCCGACCCCCGCCCCCCCGCCAAGCACGGTCCGCAGGGAGTGAAGGGAGCAGTCCACCCCCAAACTCCCAAGGAAAAACAAAGAGGAAGTAAGTGTAGCGAGACAGCAGCAAGGACTGCAGTTAGAGATAAGGAAGAACTTCCCAGTGCTCAAAGACAGAACCAGCAGCCAAGGAGGGGCATAGGCTTCACCAGTAACCGGCCCCCAGACCAGGTGGGACAAGACAGGCCACTAGGTGGTGGTGGGGCTAAAGATCGGTTTGCCCCAGGTCTTGGCCCCCAGGTGCACAGTGGAGATGCTGGTGGGAAAATCTTAGCCTGTCATCAGTAAGTACTCAGCACAAGACTCTGAGTTGGATCACAAGCCAGTGCAAAGTCGGATCCAAAGGCCAGCCTTGACGACACTCCAATTTGGGCTTAGGTCCAGACTCTGGGCTGCAGATACAAAGCCCAGGCCACTGGCTGAGCCCGATGGGGACTCAGGGCTGATGGGAAAGGATGCCCCGCCAGGCTGCTGGAGTGTCTGGGAAATCCCACAGCAGGGGCAGGGGAGGTGTGATGGGAAAGGAAGGTGATACCGTCTGTTGGTCCCAGAAGCCACCAGGTGCAGGAGTGGGGTCTGCACGTGTCACGCAGGGCAGTGCAGGCCTGGGGTGGGGCTGCTGCTGTGGCAGGTTAGCGTGAGAGGTGAGGCGGCACAGGCAGAAAGAGAGCCATGAGAGGTGGGTGGCCCCATTACCTTCCATGGGGGGCCCGGGGCTAAGCTCCCCCGGGGCCCCAGATCCTGGGGGGACAGCAGGATGGGGATCGTCTGGCGACGGGGCGTGGGGGGGAGGGACGCCACCGCGTTTCTCTCAAACACCTGGGGAGCAGAGGTGGGGTGGGCTTGGAGGGAGGGCGCCAGGAGGATGTGGGTGCTGGCCGAGGGGAGGCAGCTCTGCCTGCCACCTCATCTCCTCCACCCCCGGTGGCCGAGGGCTCCAGGCACAAGGTGTGGGGTGAGTGCCGTGAAGATTGGTGAGGCGGGGCCCTCTGGGAGGATCTTGCAATCTTCCATCCTCAGAAGGCACAGGTGCAGGGGGTGGTCTTCACCACTGGCCGTCATCGTTGGATCACTTGGCTGGGGAGGGTCTCTTGGGCCTCAGTGACCTGGGGACTTCTGGGTTCAGGACTTCTAGGTTACAGGTGGCCTCAGAGCCAACTTGCAAGGAGTGACTGTATACCTGCACATCTCATGGTGGAGGAGAGACTGAGGGACGAGGGTGGGAGTTCCTAGGGCCAGCCCTCAGCAGTAGTGCCACTCCGCAGGTGTGCCTTGGGCCTGCCACTTCACCCAGGGACCATCTTGGCACTGCCACCGCCACAGCAGGGCCAGCTCGCTCCGACCCACCTCCAGCTCCGCGATGATGCGGTCCTCCTCATCCTCATCCTTGATGGCGGATGCCATGATGGGTGGTGTGGAGGCAGGGCGGGCCACCTCAGACACGGCCCGGCGCAGCTTCACTTGCGGCTTCTGCACCTCCAGCTCCTCGGACTCCGCCTTCTGCTGGGCCACGGGACCCCCCATGTCAAGACCAATCTAGGGGCCCCCTCCTGCACCACACACTTCCCCAGGCCCCATGGAGACTAAATCCACTCTTATGCCCACCTCTTCTTGGCCACATCTGCCTCCCCTACCCTGGATGTCCCCAGGCTGGGAGCCAGAGCTGGCTGTCCACTCTTGTCTCTGCCTCTCTCCCTGCTCAGCTATATCTGGGGGGGGGGGGGTCATCTCAGCAATCCCGCCCCCCACACTGAGTATACCTTGATGAAAGCCGGGTCCTTCTTGCTGGTGACCACCACCTCTCCGGTGCGGGTGGTGGTCAGGCCATGGGAGGAGGGGAAACTGCGGCGGGGCGGGGGCGGTGGGGGCGACTTGGAGGGCTTCTCCGTGCGGTATCGGGGTACCGTCAGCTCATCTGCAGGAGGCCAGGGAATGGGGTGGAGTCAGGGGCTCAGGGCACCCCGCCCAGATTCGAGGCTAGGCCCCATGCCCCGCCCCTCTTCCAGCTCCCTGCCCTCTGGGGGTGGGGTGGGGTGGTGTGGAGGTGTGTGTGTGTGTGTGTGTGTGTGTTGGCAGGTGGCCAGCATTAGGAGGAGGGCTGCAGCCAGGCTCCCGAGCCACTACCCCTGATTCTGCAACTCAGCAGCTCCCAGCGGGAATTGCAGTTTGGGGTTCCACTTGGGGTGCAAGCCTGTTTCACAGCTTGGGACCAACTCCTGCCATGCTAGGCTCTCCCTCGCCACCCCCATTTCTCCTCCAGCTGTTGCCAGGGCTACCTGTGACACTCCCCTGCTTCTGATCCTCCTAGAGCATCCCCTCACCTCAAACCTCTACACCTCTACAGCTGCCGATCTTTCAGGCGCCATGCACACCTCCCTGACCACTGCACGTGCTGTCCTTGCCCTGGTCTCAAGGTGCTTCCTGGTTTTCAAGACTCAATGGGAGGGTCCCCTTCTTTGGAGAGCCCTCCTTCAGGTCTGCCCAGCATGTGGGCACACTCACACTCTGGTCCCTAGGACCTGCCTAGTCCTTTTGGTTAGTGCCCAGGTGTGACCTGGGTCAGGGGACTCCACCATTGTGAGCCCTGGTGTCCTGAATGTGAGTTGGGGAAAATGACTGAATCTGCGCCCTGGGTTTGTCACGAGACGCTGGGATTATCACACAGAGGTCATGCGGGGCAGTTTTCATCTGCAGTAAGTGCGTGATTGTCACGCAGGGCGAAACTGTTTGCCCGCCAACTGTGGAGCCCCTTGGAAACAAGCATTGCCTTGGCTTCCTTTCCCTAACTCTTGGCACACTCTAGGTGCCTGGCAAACATGCAGTGTGGGCACCCACACACAAGCAGGAGCCTGCTGCTGTGGCCTTTGACACAGGGTGGTGTGGGGATCCACGGGCACCACATGGCCTGGCCCTGGCTCTGCACACCCAGTCAGCAGCTCTCAGCATAGCAAGGAAGCGCGAGGTGGAATTCCATGGATCCCGTGCTTCTGGGCTGGCCCCCCACTGGCGAGGCTGAGGGCTGGGCTGCAGAGGGCCTGGCGTCTCCCTTTTCTGACATCCTGGCTACCCGTCCCACGCTGCCCCTGCTGCCTCAACATGATAGCTTCCTAGGGAACAGGCTCCCCAGCGCTGTGCTCACCATCAGCCCCAGCCACTCCACGTACCTGAACCTCTTCTCCCGCTGGGTTCCGTCCGGGGAGCCGCCTTCTGGCTGTGGGGGGCTTTGGGAGGTTTGTGGTCTGGGGTCGGAGCTGGGCTGGAGTGGGCCTTGCTGGCACAGTCTAGATCCGGGATGGCCTTCAGCAGCTCCGCCTGTGTCTCCTCCAGCAGCCGGTTGATGTCCTTGGCACTGTACTGGGTCAGGGCTGCTCGCTTCTCCTCCCAGTCTCGCTCGGCAGCCTTGAGAAGAGGAGCTGAGTGTCAGGACTTAGGCGGGAGCTACAGGGTGGGTTTGGGGGGCACCTCCTCCAAGCTTTTTGTCCATTGCCCTTGCTGCACTGACCCAGCACCCTCCAGCTTATGCCCAGGGTCAGGAGGTCACCTGTATCACATGCCAGCTTCCTGAACTGCCCTGGCCTGTTCCTGGATGCTCTGTTCCACAGAACACTCAGCCTAACACCATACTGCTCTCCTGAGGATAGCTTTGTACTATGCTTCCCTGTAGGGCAGAGCTCGCCGCATCATAGGGATCACAACCCCCCAGGCGCCCATGAGGGGCTGGAGACTCCCTCCGCTGCCCCTTGGCAAGGAAAGGGACCCACATATGTAAAACCTCCCAAAGACATGGGAACCCAGTCCTGTGCCCAGCCCAGTCTCCAGGCCCCAGCACCTCAACAGACACGCCCTTGTCCACGCTCCTCTTGCCCAAGGTCTCCAGGCCTTTGGTGGGGTTGCCTGCCTTGGGGGTGAGAGGGGCTCCTTCTGCTGGCCCACTCAGCTCGTGCAGGTTCAGCGGGGGACTAGGGGGTGGCATCTCGAAGTCCAAGGCCTTGTTGAAGTCGGTCTCGGCCGTCACCTTCTTGGGAGATTGATTCAGCAGGTTGTTGGGGGGTGGCCACACACCTTCGTCCACTTGCCTGAGATAGGAGAGTCAGGGGCAGTGCTGAGGTCAGTGGATGGTGCCTTTGGAAGAAGCCACGGGTGCATGCGTGCATGCGTGTGAGAGAAGAGGGTGCGGGATGGGAGGCTCTAGGACCTTGCAGCATACGAGGGGTTGAGGGGTTGCAGGTCAGCAGTGGCTTTCAGGCACTGTCAGAGCTCAGACTGCATGAGACCCCACGGGCAGCCCGAGGCTGGGGGTGACAATAACCTTCGGATCTGTGCCAGCGTGTCCGTGACCCCACGGCAGCGCTTCAGGAGTCCGTCCAGGCGCTGTGGCTCCTCCTTCAGGAACTTGACTGCCTCCACCTCGACACGCAGCACCACCCGCATCTTGCTCTGCAGCCCTGGGAAGTGAGCTGTGGGGACGGCAGGGTGTGAAGGGGCAGGATAGGGAGCGAGGCCGGGCCGAGCAGGGCAGGGTAGAGGCTGGCAGGGATGCCTGCCCCTGCTCACCCTTGAGCTCCGTCAGTGTTTCTCCAAGCTGCTTCAGCACCAGCGCCTTCTCCTCCAGCTCGGGGCCGGGCACCAGCCGGTGGCTGTGGGACATGTCCCTCTGGATCTTCTCCACCGACTTCTCCAGGTCACTGCAGCCACAGAGACACCCTCTCAGCCCCTCCGGCCCCAGCCCAGCCCCCTGAAATTTGAGTGGTTGGAAAGAAATTAAGGCCACCAGTCAGATCAAAATTTTAAAAACACCTACTAAACTACATGCCCAAGTGGAATTCACACTGCTTCATCTCAGAAACAAGGAGCCCTCTGAAAACGGTGTCCCAGGCAGCCCCCTTGAGACCCCCAGCATCATCCCCAATCCTACGATTGACTGATTTGGGTTTTCATTCTACAAAGAAACAGGAGTGACCCTGGCAGCCTTTTGGGGGCATCTGGAGGCAGCAGCATGTGCCCCCCGAGGCGTTTGCAGTCCGGTGGGGCACTGCCCTGCCCATCTACTTTTCCCTCCATGATGCAGGTTTATGAGGAGCTTTGCAGCTTTCCAAAACCCCCAGCAGACCAGGTCCCCGCCCCCTGAGCCCAGCCCTCAGTGGATCCCTTGAGCTGGATGCTAAAAATCCAAACTCTGGGCAGCCGCCCAGGTGAGAGAGCAGCATGGAAAAACCTGGCTCTGGAGCCAGCAGAATCTGCGCTCCAAACAGCTCCGCCCTTCCCAGCGTAGAGATCTGGGGTGAATTACCAAGCACCATCTGGGTCCCAACCTCCTCCTCCAGAAAAATGGGAGTGCAGGAGTCCCTGGCTCCTGGCACCATGAGGGCGACTCTGTGAGTGACACGGATGGGAAAGCAGGCGGCAGGCATCGGCCTTGGACGGTGAGCTTGCTCTCTCTCTAGGTGCAGCCCCTCCCTCCATCCGGCTTGCTTCTGGGCAGAGCTGTTGAGAACTTGCCTGAGCAGCCGGCCTGCTCTGGCCTTTACACGTTCTTTCTGGGTCTGAACTATTCCACTCAGCTGGGCACCTTCCCCAGTGCACGTGCACACACATGCACAAGTTCATCTCCACTCATCCTCACCCCTCAACAGGAAGCTCTCCCCACCACCCAGACTCTCTGCTAGGGGCTGGGAATTGTGGGGGGTGGGGTCTACTGCCTGCTCCCCCTCCAAGTCTCACTTGCTGCGGTGCCTGTTGTTCTGTATCACTAGTTTCTTCCAGATGCAAATGCAAGCCCCTGCACGGGCACAGAATGAGCAAATAAACGAAAGAAGGAGTCATGGCCGGGCCAGTCATTTGGGCTCTGCATGTGGTGTTGCTGACCCATATGTGAGACTTGCCACGTGTTCCTGTCAAGTTCCATCTGCTGGATCTCTGCTCAGCGATCGAGGCACACTGTTAACTCTCAGCTCTCCTGTGATTTGCTCCCTCTGGGGGCCTGTGTGCTCTGCAGAGCTTGTTGAAGATGCATTCATCATCTTCATCCAATCAGAGCAGAATCCTCTGACAGCCCTTGCAACCTCAATGCGACCCTGCATGGGCCCCTAACGTGCTCAGCCCTGTGCTCTCGGGCCCTTACCCAAGTCCCAAGATAAACCCAGGGAGGGGGACCATTGTCACTTCCAGCTTACAGGGGGAGACTACATTTCCCAGCTGCCCCTGCAATTACAAGTAGCCATCTGAGTAGGTCCACCAAGTGGAGTTCATATGGACCGGGTCTTGCTCCCAGATCTGACCCAGAAAACTTACTGTGTGTGCTCCTCTGAGCTCTCTCCTCTTTTTGGTTGGGCTGAAAGGCGGTGACCCGAAGGCACCCAATCAGCACCAGGGCTTTTTTCCTCCTTTGATTTTCCAACCTGCCAAAGTTCAGGGCTCCTGCTTTGGGCAGGCTCTGCAACTGTGTTCCAGACTAATTGCTGCAGGCACAGGAGCAGCCCCTGGAGGAGCTGGGTCAAGAGGGACCAGGACAGAAGCAGCCACATCCCCGTGGGGCTCATGGCAAAGTGAACATTTGGCCTCTAGTTCAAGGACCATGAAGAATGTCAAGGCAACAGCAGCACAGCCTTAGGCAAAGCACAGTACCTTTTGGAGGTGCAGGGTGTCCCATGCCCATGGCACTGCCCCTGAGTGAGGCAAAGGCAGACTCCCAGAGTGAACCAGTCTCCATCCACGAGGGCTGCCCCCAAGAGTGACATCCAGATAGAGCTCATTCAAGCTCAGCCAGGCCAAGGCTAAGGCCCATTGGGGAGCGATGTTACTACAGGAAGCACCGAGCCAGCTGCAACCTCTAGTCAGATACTGGTGAAGAGGAAGGGGCCTGCAGAGTGTGGCAGGCACAAGGGTACCACAGCCAGAGCAGGTGTCAGCCGGGGCATCAGGGGCTAATGCCAGGCCCTGGTTCCACCATCTCCTAGCACAAGGCCCATTCCAAAAGGATGGAGAACCCACCAGAAGCAATTTTTGCGGTCCCCTGCATTTTTAACAAGCAGTCAATAATGAAGTTGATGGCAGGGCTATGGGTGGGATCCAAAGAGCCCAGGAGTTCGAGGACCAGACAGCCCCGACAAGAGCCTCAATCAGTCCCTTCATCTCTCCGGCCGCTGGGCTGTGCCTTGACTTTAATGTCACAGTAAAGTTCCCTTTGAACAGCCCGGCCCAGCCCTCTGTGCTGAACAAAAAGGGACAGGCAATTCCCAGGATCACGAGCCTCCAGGGGCAGTGATGGTAAGGGTGGAGGTGGTGATGGTGAGGGTGGAGGTGGTGATGGGGGGGAGTGGCTACACAGTCTGCTTGCAGCCCCTAAGGGATCACGTCCTGTGGGCTGTTCCCACACAGCCAGCCCCTTCCTCCATCTCAGTCACACATGGTCACAGGGATCTTGGCCATGTCCCACCCATCAGAGGGACAGGAACCCCAGGGGTGCAGGAGTGACAAGCTAAGAATGCAGGGATCCTGTGGGCATATGGCTCCAGATCTCTCCAGATCTGCTGAGTCAGGGAGTGTAGGCGCCACCCTAATCTTACAGTCCCTGCTGCTGATGCTGGAGTGCCCCAGTGCCCTGAACTACCAAGGCCAGAGAGGGGAAGTGTGCAGGACTGCCTGCTCCCCAGTGGCCGCTTTTCCCATCAAAGGTGCCACAGAGCATGGTTGTGGCCAGACAACCACAGGCTGAATCTGGTTTAGAAACCTGATGTCTGTGAACCCTTCCCCTTCCAGGCAGTGGTGGGGGAGGGGGGTCCTGTGCTCTTTCTCCCTCCATCCTGCCCAACACACCAGCATCAGCTCTCAGCTGCACCCACCGGCTGTACCTGGTGGCCTTCAGCACCAAGCTGGAGCCACCATCATCCCCGCACCTAAGTCACAGGCCACAGGAAAAGCAGTGCAGGGGCAGAAGGCAGTCAGGGGACAGTTGGGCACACAGGCCTCAGGCTGCCCACCGTGGGGAACCCAGACAGCACCACCAGGAGCACAGGGCACAGCAGAAAACAGGTGCCAGACCAGAGAACAAGCCATCGCACTATGTGGCCGGAGTCACAGAGCGCTCGGGCCACGGAGGAGCCAGACAGCAGCACTCAGAACAGCCCCGACCTCCACCCAGGACTCTCCCGCCGCCCCTGCCCCCCGCGGGGCGCAGCCTCACTTGAGCTGCTGGGTGATGAGCTCCTCGTCGTTGAGGTAGCGCAGCCGCTCCTCCTCCACCAGGGTGCGCTGTCGCTGCAGCGGGTCCTCCTGCCGCCGCGCGGCCTCCGACACGCGCATGCTCAGCTCCGCCTCCGTGCGCTTCAGCAGCGCCCGCACCGACTCCTGGTTCTGCAGCTGCGGGGTGCACGGGCGGACGCGCCAGTGGGCCCGGGTGGGAGAGGGACGGGGTGGTCGGAGGCATGGGGACGGTGGTGCCAGGTCGGGAGCAAGGGATACCGGAGATGCGGGTGCTCGGCTTTAGTGGCGGGGTGGTGGGGGGCCGAGAGTGGGATGCGAATATAGGGGGTGGGGACCAGGAGAGGACCCTGGGTGTGTGGGGGTGCCCTGCTGGTAGCGCGGTTGCCTGGCTGTGTGGTCTCCAGAACTCTGCACCGGGATGGAATGGGGCTAGGTAACGGGTTCCAGCTCTGAGGCTGGGTCTGTTAGAACCCGTGACTCGCTCAACCCAGTTCCCAGCTCGAAGGGCAGGGGTGGACAAGACTCCGGTTGCCCAGATGGCAACTCTCTCCCCTCTCCCCAGGCTGTCGCTGCTCATTAGCCTCACCTGACGCGCCCTGGAGCCCCGTCGAGGAGCGGGCACAGCGATGCCAAGCTCCCGACAGGTGGGGCCATCTGCCACGCGGGGCAGGGCAGACTGTCCCGGCTCGGGGACAGGAAGCAGAGGGGACCTGGGGGAAGGGCTGTAGTCCCACACACGCCAGGTTCGTGGGGCCTCGAGGGATCCCGGCAAGGGGAGGGGGAGCGTGGTGTGAACCGGGTCTCCAGAAGGGCGGTGAGGCTGGGAAGGAGGGGGCTTGGCGAGGACGCGTGGACACCAAGAAAGAGAAGGGTTTTGGAGGAGGACACGTGAGCAGCGTGGGAGCTGGGGGCTGTGGGGGATAGAGGAGGAGGTGGGGTTCCAGAAGGGTCTGGGAAAGTGGATGGGCTCTGGGAGGGAAGGGGCGGTACCTGGAGCTTGCGAAGCTGCTGCAGCTGGCCCCGCAGGTCGCTGGTGCTGCTTTGCAGGCCCCGCAGGTGCAGCTGCATCTGCAGGCGGTTGAGGGTCGCAGGCTGTCCTGCAGGGGTGCCACCGGCCGAGGGCGGGGGCGGGCCGGACACGGGCGTGGCCCCACTGCTCCTGCTACCTGACCCACAGGCTGCGGAGAAGGAGGAGGAAGGGGAGGACAGAGAATGTGAGCCTGGCAGGAGCAGAAGGGGCAGGGGGCGGGGGGCGCGGGCTGTTGCTACTGGCTCCTGAACAGAGTAGCCAGAGGGGCCTCTGCCCTATGCCCGGGTCAGCCCTAACTGCGGGGAGCACCAGGGCTAGGGTGACAGTCATGTGGCTGTTGTATTGTCCCCATCTGACATATTAGGAAGCTGAGGCCAGAGAAGGGCCAGCCTGAGGGGAGGAGCGGCACACTTACGTGCTGAGGGGGTGGCTGCTCCGTTGGAGCCTTCGATCTTCTCACTGTGGCGCGTGAGGGGGAGACACAGACGTCATGGGGTGTCCACCCAGCCCCAGCCCCTCTAGGCTGGGCGGGGGGACTTCAGATGTCATCCCTTCCAGCCCAGGATGGAGGTCTCAACAGAGAAGGGTCGCCCTCGGGGACTCTGAGATGGACACTGGCAGAGCTACGGCCAGGGCTCCCAGTGCCCACACCCCTTCACTCCTGTGCCCACCCCCGCCCTGGCAGCAGCCTGGGGAGAGAGGGGCTTCACCTTGGGGTCTCGGGCTCGGAGCCCCGAAGCAGGGCACTCTGCACCAGCCCCGTGAGGCTGGCGATCTGCTTCTCCATGGCCTCCATGCGCTCTCTGGGGAGGAAGGGAGACTTGAGCACCTTGGGCTGTCTCCTGCCCAGTTCCCCCTCCAGCTCGCCCCCTGTTGCTTCAGAATCAAGCCCCCCTACACCCTGAACCCTTGACTTTGGACACCTCCCACCTGCCCTGTTTTCCTCCCCCTCTTCTGGGCAGCCACCACCCAGGCCCCAGTAGCCTGAAGGACTTTGTCCTGTACCCCCTAGAGGGAGAGCTAGGGTTTTGTGTGTACACACACACACACACACAGACCAGGTCAGGAACTGGGTCTGCCCAACTTGGCACAGCGCAGTGCCAGGCTCATGGGCCACAAGAGTGCGGCTGGGGGGAGGCCGGTGGCATCTCCTCCCCTCTCTGCAGTGCTGTCTGGGGGCACAGATGCCCTCTGGCCAGCCCAGAGCACAGCTCCTATTTTGTTCTAGCACCCCCATCCCCCAGACTTCAGCTGGCCCTGTGCTGGACAGCTCTCACCCTGCAAACCCTGAGCAGCAAAGGCAGCCCAAAGGGCCGGGACAAGCCCCTGAATCTTGGGGGAAACTGAGGCTTAATTAATACATGCAAACTTGGGCCTCCTCCGGAGCCTCATTCGCTGCCTTCCCTCTTCCTCCACCCGCCTCCACCGTCCCTCACCTGGTCTCCGTGTCCTTGGCCGGCACTGGAGGCCCGAACCCCACGAGGGAGCGCTCCCCGGGCCCGGGGAAGAGATCTGAAGGGGGCGCTCCGGCCGACGAGGCGCTCCCGGCACTGCGGGTCTTGCCTCCTGGGCTCTCGGCGAAGACGGACGAGGAGCCCGAGTCCTTGCGGAAGGACTGGCGCACGGGCGAGCCGCGGCTGGGCGGCCCGGAGTAGGGGCTGTGCGGCGGCGGGGGTCCCCCGGGAGGCGCCGTCACGTCGGCCAGCTTCTGCGGCGACGAGGGCGGCAGGCGGAAGCCGTAGCCGTCGCCGTAGAGGGGCCCTCCGCCCGGGCCGCCGCCGCCCGCCGTCTTGTACAGCGAGTCCTCCAGGTCGGACTGCAGCGCGGCGGCCGAGTAGGTGCTGAGCGAGCGCACCGAGCCGCGCTTGTACAGGCCGCCGGCGCCGGGGTAGGCGAACGGGTCGCCGGCGGCGGCGGCCAGGCTCAGGCGGCCCTCGTGCAGCAGCCCGTAGGGGTCGGCGTAGAGCCCCTCGCCCTTCACCAGCACCATGCCGCCCGCCTTGCCCGCCAGGTCCTCGTCCGGCTTCACGTCGCGCCGCTCCAGGATGGCGCTGGGGCTGGGGCTCACGCCGGGGGCGGCCGAGGTGCTCCCCAGACGCTCGGCCGCGTGGTGCACCGGGCTGCCGGCGTACGAAGGCGGGCGGCCTCCAGCGTACGAGAGGCGAGAGCGCGATGGCGAGCCGGACGGCAGCCCCGACGGCAGCCCCGACGGCAGCCCCGATGGCAGCCCTGGCGGAGGTGAGCCGGATGCCAGGTGCGGGGCCGGCGACAGGTTGTTGAGACGCCGAGTGGGGGAAGACTCCCGTGACGCGTACACCATCTCTCTCTGTGCACAAGACAGCCCGAAACCCCCTGGCTTGAGGAACCAGCACTCCCCACTCCCACGGGGGAAGGCAGCAAATCCCTTCTGTTCTCCACCTTCCCTACCCAGCTACCTCTGGGGCTCCTTTCGTATCAGGGCTCCCAGCACCAAGGGAGAAAGGGGTCGGATGGAGCAGCAGAGGGGCCACTCCAGCCCATGCCACGGAGGCACGGAGTCTGCATGCCACCTGAGCCATGGATATCACTGGGGCCTGCCAGGGGCATCCCGAGGGCTTGGCGTGGCGCCCGGTGGGGGAGGGGAGGGGCACTTGCAGAATCCCATGATGAGTAGAAAGCCTCGGCCCTGTGTCCTCCAGAGCAGGTCTGGGCCCCAAGGCCAACTACAGGGACCCCATATGCCCAGCCTCCCCTCCGCCCCTTTTCCCCCCATCCCTAGTCTTACCCGGAGGTCACCGTTGGTGAGGTGGGAGCCGGGGAAGGCGGCGTAGAGCGGCTCTTTCCTGTAGATCTTGATAATACTGCGGTCCTGAATGTCCCTGGCAGGAGAGGGGGCGCCAGGGTCACCATTCATGCCGTTTGGGGCACCGGGGGAGGGGGAGAGGTGGCTGCCCAAAGTAAAGATGTGGCAGGAGCGACCCGGAGCCCCCACTCCCCCTCCCAAGTCCTTCCCTCGGTGTCTGACACACAGCAGCCGCTGCCCTGTCCACTGGCACCCCGGCAGGGCAGACGGACTGGGTGGGAAGAGGCGGGGCTGGAAGGAGAGGGCGGGCGAGGGGACCCAAGCCAGGCAGGGACAGGATCCTGCGAGTCCCGCGCAGCCGGGGGCTGGGCTAAGAGGGGAGCCCTCCCAGCGCCCCCGGGCCCACGCCCACCGGACGTCCTCCAGCTCGTAGAAGACGTTGCGGGCCTCGTCTTTGATGAGGATGGCAGTGTTGGGCGACTTCAGCATGCCCATGGTGAGCTTCTGCGGGAACATGTGGGCGATGAGGGCGTGCAGCGTGTCCAGGCTGCTGACCTCGTGCGTGATATGCACGCGCCGCGTCTCCTCCCCGAACTGCAAGAACAGCACCCCTGCAAAGAAGACGTCGCCCTTGCGGTCACTGCCGCCACCTCCACGCCGCCCGCCGGGAGAGCGCGTGTGGCCTTCCGGGGTGGCGCCGTCCTCACAGAGGCAGGGTCTGAGGCTGGAGGCCTGCCCCGAGTGCAGGTGTACCCAAGCGCTCCTCATGTCGCTGCCTGGGGCGCCAGGTCAGCTCCCACGCGGCTTTCCCCGTGCGCCCTGGCGCCCCACAGCAGCTAGGGAACTGGACAAGGAAAACCAGAGCTGAAAGCAAAAGCAGCGATGCGATGAAAGGGGCTACAGAGAAGAAGGGCCAGAGGGGAGATGGGAGAAGGGGAACAGGAGAGATTGCTGAGAGAAAAGCACGAAGAGGGAAGTAGGAGCCTAGGAGTGCGCAGGGGACACCCAGGGGGAGAGGAGGGTCCAGCTGAGGGAGCTGCGAGGGCAGGAAGCCAGGTCCGGGGCGGGCCAGGGGAGGAGCCGCATCCGCTAGGGCGGTACCTGGCGAACGTAGCTTGGTCTGGCTGGCGGAGCGCGAAAGGGGCAGGCTCTGTCGAAAGCGGTTCATCCTGCTAAAGCCCAGGGGCAGCTCAGCCTCCGACATGGTCTCCAGTGACTCAGCCGAAGCGTAGGACAGTTTGGCCGCCTGGTCCGCCAGCCCCGGCTGGGCTCCCTGAGTGTGACGCGAGCTCCGGGTCTGTAGGGGCAGGGGAGAGGAGGCAAGCCTAAGTTCTCTTTTGCTGAGCTGCTGTCTGGTACAGACCCAGGGGCTTCTGCCAGCCCAGGGACGGACCTGCGCACGCGTGCGCACACACACACATTCTTAGCAGGGGCTGCTGGTTCCAGACTCGCTATGTGGCGGAAGGACAGTCCCCCACCTCGCTGGTGCTGGGGCCTCCTGCGGATACCCAGCAGGTAAGGAGTGGGTGAAGGACCCGGGAAAGCGTCCCTGGGGAGGCCAGACCAGAAGCCATCTGAGCCGCATCCATGGGCATGCTTGCTATTTTAAGCTTCCAAAGAACAACACCACAGATTTGTCACCGAGGTGAGCAGCAGAATCATTGCACAAATTGGGACATTAGTTCCAGACATTAATTAAGCGGCGCATTTGAGAGTGGCAATTTATTCTTCATGGGGTTCAGAGGCTTCTGTGGGGAGCAGGAAAGGGCCCAGGGAGCAAGAGCACACTGGGATACCTTGGGCTCCCCGTTTTTGGGGTGTGTGAGCACAAAGTCTGACTCAGGCCCGCTGGGAAGTCCATCCCAAGCCCCTCCAAGCCAGCTGGACCCCTGTGTGGCACACACAATGCGCATGCTAAGCCCCGCTGGCCCAGCATGGTGCTACCTTCCCCGAAGCAAGTGCAGAGGTGGGGAACGCTGTGCGGCTGGGGTGGGCAGGGACATCACCGGCTGAGGCCTGGGGCTGTCACTCAAGACGCAGGCCCCGCCCTTCAGCCCCAGTCTCGTTGCTGCACCAACTCCTGAGTCAGTGGCACAGGGCCACAGATCACACCTGTGGCATTCTGTGTTATACACACTGCGTTCACAGATGATCAGATTACATACGTTATCAAGGAAAAATCATGTTGCCCAATTATGTTTGTTTTTCTGTAAAAGCCTATTTTTAACGAAAACAAACCACTCCTCGGTTTTATCTGGGTCGGGAGAGAGTTTCCTTCCTTTATATATTTCTCTACCAAACATGAATTCTGCATAGAATGTTACTTTGATCATTTGAAAGAGGCAGTAATTGAAAGTACCTCTTGAAAGGAATCCCGGATTTTCCTCCACTCCCTCTTCCCCCCAGATCCTCATTAACCCCCTAATTAATCTCCATTTTCATATGAACTCAATTTAGTGTTCCAATTGGATTAGCACTCTGGGGAAGAGAGCATCTTCATTCAACGGTGGCGTGGCCAGCAGAACTCATGGGGACCACGAGAGGGTGGGGAGGTGGAAGGTCAGATTTGGGGGCTTCCGGGGCCTTCCTCCACATGCCCCAGCCTGGAAAGAGGGAGGCAACATGGAACTGGGCCTGCCGGGGGCATGCTTGTGGCCAGACTTCAGACCCTCGGCTTGGCTCTGGTTAGACCACCAGTGCCAATCTGTGGCACTAGCCTCTCTGGCCCTCAGCCCCAGCTGAAGGGCGGGTAGCTCCTGGGCAGTGTGGGAGAAAGGTCTGGTCTGGTGGCCGGGGGTTGCCAGGCAACTGAAAGGTCAGTGTTTCTAGGCTGGCATGCACAAAGTGCTGTAGATGCTGCCAGGATGAACAGCGGCCAGGATGGGGTACAAATAAGGTGCCAGTAAGAAGATGGAAGAGGGGCTGCATGAAGGGGAGCGGTCAGGAATGGTGTGGGGCTATGACTGCTGAGCAGGCAGCAGCTGGAAAGAGAGGCACCCCACACCCCACTCCAGCCTGGCCCCATGACACTGCCCCATCCTCATAGCTTTTACACAACAGCCCTCCTTACTGAGGAGGGAAAGCCCTATAGCACCTCTCTCCCTCACCCATGCCCCAGCTCAGGTGAGAGGGTGGAGCAAAGTGAGACACCTGGAAGGCGAGGTAGAAGAAACCATGGATGCCCCAGGAAACAGAAGCACCTGCCACCCAGAGTCAAGGCAGGGGGAACCTTGGGTGGGGGGCTTGGACTCAGAGCTGAAGCACCTCTTGGAGCTCTTTTAGGGTGCTCTCTGTGAGAACCCTGTTTTTGCCCCACCAGAACCTCCAGGCTTTAGGGCACCTGCGGCATTAGCTCCTGGGCCAGACCCAGTGGTGCCTAGGCAGAGCACAAGTTCCCATTTTTCTATCTTCACAGCCAGCCCTGTAGGCAGACCCAGCTCTCTGTCACTGAGCAGGCCCTGAGGCTGTGGCCCAGAGGATGGTGGGAGCTGTCCTGGGTTCCCACACTGGCGAGCAGCCCGACCAGAATACCGTGCTGGGTGGCCTGGGTTTTGGGTCCCTCCTGCCTGCTCTGAACAGGCTATGCCTGACATGGTGATTGCTGACTTGGGGTGCCCTGAAAGAACGTGAGCCAGCCAGATGCTGAGGGACTTTCCTCCCATCCTCGGGTCACACTGGCACACAGGCATCAGTCGCACCTGGATGGCTGAGGCCTGAAGCCATATGCCTGGCATGACAGGGCAGATGGCGCAGTGAGCTCCTGGGACCAGCAGGGTCGGGGTGGCAGGCATAGCTCTCCAGCCCTGGTTGGCCTTAGTTTCTTCCTAGAAGTTAAGGACACCTTCTTATGAGCTTGGCCTTCCTCTGGACACCAGGTTTGGGGTTTGCAGGATTATAAACTTCTTGCCTGGCACTGACCAGCTGCCCTCACACCATGGTGGGGAGTTTAAACAAGGAGTCACAGGGACCAGTGTTAAGCTACTGCCTGGCACACTGGCATCCTGTATCAGAATGTCACTTCCAACCACAGTTCCTGGTCATGTGTCTGGGAGGCAGCATGTGACAGCTCAAACATTTGGGCCCCTGCAACCCATGTGGGAGAACTGCATGGAATTCCTGGTTCTTGGCTGTGGCCTGGCCCAGGCCTGTCTGTTAGGACCATTTGGAGAATGAACCAGATGATGGAAGGTCTGTGTGTGTCTCTCTCTCTTTTTCTCTGCCTCTTTCTGTTGTTTTACCTTTCCAATAAATAAATCTTTTCAAGTATAAATAAAAAGGGATTCAATCACAGGCAAAATCCACATTTTGCGAACAGGAGCCTCAATGAGGTCATGGTTCTGGTCCCTGGTCCCTCAGAGCCGGCATGTCCCCAGGCTGGCAGCGGATGGAGTGAGGTGGTAGGGAGGGGGGAGGTGGTGAATGTCAGGCAGCCCTTGGCATTGCAGAGTGCCCCTACTGGGCCACAAAAGCCTGTGACAGGGATAGGCCATCTGCAGCCCAGATCTCCAGTAGGTGTGACCCAGGCACCCACTCTGGAGCCACAAGCCCCTAGCAGGTGAACCCAGCACATGGCTGCAGCAAGGGACGGGGGTGGGGTCACAAAGCATGTGCAAGGGCAGGGCGGGGCAGAGGCGGCAGAACACATGCAGTGTCACGGCAGCAGAAGCATCACACACTGACCTTGAAACTCCAGTAGTTGGGCTGCTGATGGAAATAAGAGAAGAGATGGTTATGAGGGGGCTGGGAAGGGAAAAGAGGGGCAGGGGTAGGGTAGAGACCCTTAGCGCTCAGGGCTCAGTCCCAGGTCACGGCCCCGTTACTCTTTTAGGAGCAGGAAATAACACCTAGAACCTCCCATCTGCTGCTGAGACCTGGAACACCTGCTGCACCCAGAATGGACCAAGCAGGTTTGCTGGTGGGGACTAGAGAGAACATTCCAGATGCTTGCAAGCCACACTTTCTGGCTATAGTAATTGCTTCCAGAGAGTTCCAAGTAGGAAAAAGGCAAAGATGACCATGACGGGGGAAATCTTGAGATGCAGGAAAAATGAGCCAGAACTGGAGGGGTTAGCGAAACAGCACCTGGCTGTGGCTGGCCAGGGAAGAACTCTGGGAAGGGGTGGCATCTGAATCGGGTCTTGGGGAAATGTGTGGCTAAAGCCTGCAAGGAAAGGCGGGCTAGGCAGCTGCAGCAAGACATGTGCTGGGACAGACGGCCATTAGCCCTGGGTGGCCAAGCTATGACCTGGAAAGTGGCATCTGGGGCATAAAGGGGGCCAAGGCCAGATCATGGGTGCTCTGAAGGCATGAACTATTTAACCTGAGCTGGGTGGACAGAAGACATCATGTCTGGAGCAACAGAGTGGGATCAGAATGGGACCCCAGCAAGCTGCATGGTCAGCAAGTGGATGAAGGAGGCTAGAGCCCAAGGCTGGGGCAAAGTGGCCCTAGCAGCCGATGGACCTGGAGTATAGAGGAATGGACAGACACCAGTGACCGTATGGCCCTGGGCAATGGTGGGGGATCTGGACACGGCTCAGTGCCTGGATAGGTGATAGAGATTGGGTGGGCGGCTGAAGGTCCCTCATCATTCACAATAACCTAGGGCTGTCTGGCCTTCCCAAGAGACCAGAAGGCCCTTCCAGATGGCTGGGCACGAGGAAGCAGCAGCGTTAACTCATGGCAAAGCAAAGGGCACCCTGCTGACCGGTGCCAGCCTCCGCAGGAAGCCAGAGGCAGCAGATGGCCTGGCCATGGGGTGCCTGGCACAAGCAGACAAGATTCTCCAGGCCTCTGGCAAGAGGCGAGGGACACCCTGGGTGCCCAGCAGGGTAAGGACACCATGTCAGGGGCTCCTGGGCCACCCAAGTGTGTTCATGGCAGGGAGCAGTTGGCTCAAGGCTGAGGTGAGGGTCACGACCAGATGGAGACATCACCTAGGGTGGCACTTGGGGAGCGGGTGGAGGGAGCCACTGGCCCTAGACCGGGTTAGTCTAGGCACCTGCTCCTGCTGACTGGTGCCAGCGTCCATGGGAAGGACAGAGGCCACAGGCAACTCCGGGTGAGCTTCAGTCCCCAGCTCTCCCCAGCCATGGCTCTACAACACAACAAAATAGTCCCAAGACAGACAGGACCAGGAAACAGCAAGGCAGCACCTGGAATCTTCTAGAACGTGGGCCACCCACAGATGCTGAGGGGCAGGCAGCATCCAGGCTGCCAGGTGCTAGCCATGGCTTCCCGTGGCCTTAGGAGGGAGTGGACATCAGGGGTAGACAGATGGCCTGGCAAGGTTTATGACGAGCGTCACATCTGCAGACCCATGATGACGGGCAGCCCTGCGGAGATGGCCTCGTGGTACTCACCCATCATGACCCCACGCTGAGCACAGGTGGCATACGAAAGGGCTCACAGTCCACACACAGAACCGCACAACACAAGCTCCCAGACATGCCCTCGGCAGACATGTCCCGTACACCAGGACCACCAAAACATGTCTGACATTGAGAGCACTAGAACACGGGGGACCTTGGCAGTCCACTCCCACTCTGATGTCCACCCCATGATCCCAGGCACTGACACAGGGCCATACCAGGCCAGGCCATTCACACCTATCCTGAGCCCATTCTACAGTCAGTCACAGGAACACACACATACACACTCCTGGCTTCCTTCCCCCGCCCAGCCCAGTCAAGGTGCCTTAGCTACCATAGCTACCAATCTACATCTGCGATGTTGATGTGTCCCACATATTCCACATATCCTGGGACCTACCCTTACCCCCACCTGACCCTTCACCAGTGTTACCTCGACAGGTGGACTCAGGTACCACGGACAGGGAGGGAGGCAGCGGCCTGACTGCAGCCACATGGGCTGTATTCCCTTAATGAGGGCCCTCCCCCGGGGGTCCCACAGGTGAACACTTCCATGGGGCAGCCCTGGGAAGACAAGTCCCTGGTGTGAACTAGGTAAGCACCAGTGTCCTAGGTGGCCAAGGCACTGGTGCACTGGGGTGTGTGAGCAAGGCTGCCCTCAGTCCCATGGGCCTTGGGGCTCAGATGAGCAGACTGCACCTGCAGATGGCCGCCCCACTGTTCTTCCTGCCACTCTACAGAAAGCGGGAAGGATGTTTCTGCTGTGCTGACCATCAGGAATGAGTTGGGGGGACCCTGGGCTGGTAGGAGGTCCTGGGGAGTAGGGTCCTTCCCCATCCCTGTCTCCTGCCAGTCTGTTAACCGTTAACCGTGGGGTCACCATCAAAGCTCCTCCCCTGCCTCTAAGGTGGGACCCTCCCAGTCACCGCCCACCCAGCCCCAGGGCCCTTGCCTGGTGACCCTTTCCCATGCAGTGCAGGACGCAGGGCTGGTACACAGCACATGAATATAAGACAATCCAGTCCCGAAGTGTGTGCGGAGCGGAGTGTGTCTCTTACTACAGGGTCTGGCCCTCAGCCTTCCGGGGGCCCTAGTCATGGCAATTTTGCAGCTCTAGTGTCCTCCTGACCAAGAGAGATTTAGTCTTCTACTTCCCTACCTCCCACCCCACCCCCCAAGCAAAACTCTCCAATACAGGGCCACGGCTGGCTCCCTCCGGCACACTCCTGCATACGGCAGGGGGTCTGCCACACAAGCTGGGGTTCAAGAGCAGATAGTCTGCGGGAGGGGGCAACCACCAGCGATGGTTGGAGGGGGTGGCCAGAGGTGCGGGAGGAGGCTAAGATGGAAGGCGGCCTCCCGAGGGATTGGGCGGTCTGAAACCGGGAAGGCGGAGCTTCTCCCGGGACCCAGAAAGCAGCCGGGAGTCCTCAAACTCTCCAGGGCAAAGACGGAACAGCTTCTTCCCCGGGGGGCCTAAGGGGCGAGCTCCTTCCCTCCTCCCGGTCCGCACCATGCGCAGAGCCGGTCCCTCCTTCCGCGGGGTCAGCTCCCCCCAACCCGCGCCCTAAGCCTCAGTTCCGGTCAGCTGAGGTCAACCCTGCGAGCAGGCTAAGCGAGTGCGTGACCCCTCCTTGACCTGGAGCCCCCAACTACGCAGCCTCCTCCTTCCCAGAGGAGGCAGCAAGCCCAGCGCTGGCATTCCTGCCGCTGGAGCCCCTGGCTCGAAGTGCACCAGCGCGCGCACACACCCACCTCCCGACTCCGGCACACACGAGTCCGCGTAAACACCCACCCCCAGTTGGGGTTTCACTATGCGTCCCTGCGGGCGCCAGCCTCCTGCCGCGACGCTCACGCACGACCCTCCCCCAGGTGTGCGGCTTGGCACTCTCACCTCCGAGCCCTTCTTACTGCGGCGCCGGCCGGGGGAGGGGCTGCTGCGGGCCCTGCGCTGCTGCGCCTGGGTCGAGGGAGCACCCCGCGAAGGTCATGACTTTCCGCGATTGGGGGAGGGGGCGTCTGCCGCATTTGGGATGGGAACCCGGCCCCCGTGGAAGGCATCTCATGCAGTGGGGGAAGGAAGGGGGGGCGTTTCTCAAGGATCGAGAACCCGCCACAGCTGCGCGTGCCCACCCCCCAGTCATGGACCGCCCTTCGGTGCCGTGGAGGGACTCCCCATCTCCGTCTCCCCGACCCCAGCTGAAACCAAGACGTGGACGGCCCCCCACTGGCCCTCACAGTCGTCCCCTCCCCCCCTTTACCTGCGGCCACAGGTGCACACGGGGAGGACCGGGTTCCAGGTCCGCGTCGGGAGGGGAAGGGAGGGCGGTCCCCTACTCCCACCCTCCCGGGCACTCCCCTCCCCCGGCCGCCTCCGCAGCCGCTGGTGCCCTTTTACTGCAATGCTAGAGCCGCCGCCGCCGAGCCGGCCCGGGCCTCGGTCGCCCCGGTAACGGCGACTCCACCTGGCGCTGCGCTGCGCGCCGCCGTGCACATCCCCTCTCCCGGCCCCCTCCCCCGGCGCGGCCCCGCCGGCGCAACCCCGCCGAGGAGCGAGGAGCGGCAGCGGCAGCGGAGGCTGGTGGCTGCGTCGCCGCGGTCACCCGATACGCCGGCCCGCCGCCAGGGACTCGGGTTGCAGCGGGAGGGAGGGTGGTTAGCTCGCCTAATGGGAGGGGGGCCGGAGGGGAGGGACTACAACGTGGTCCAGTCAAACCTCAGGCCACCTCCCAGGGTCCTCAACACTGCCCCTCCGGATCCCCAGCACCTCCCCTCCAGTGTCTGCCCCTTTAACTCCCTGGTACCTTGATCCTCAGCCAAACCCAGCAGCGGCCTAGGCTGCCTCAGTTTCGCTGATGGCCACCCAGCCCGCTCAGCTGTGTGACTTCAGAGGAAGTCTCTGGTCCTTCACTTTACAAGGAGGTCCACTCAACTCTGGGGAGAGGATGAGGGAGGGACAGGGAGTGGAATTGACTGCGGGACCCAGTGATGACAGATCCTGGGCACTGCCCCTTTCCCAGATTAGCTCAGAGCCCAGAACCTGGGCCACCTGCAGCTGCCCTGCCTCCCGGAGAGCAACTCCCACTTGTGGGCAGGCCTGCAACACTGCCACCTCCCCCGCAGCACAAACAGCCTCACCCCCAACACTGCCACACCTCCAACACTGCCACAGCCTCAGCGAGATTCCCCAGGTGGGCGGGCGCCCTACACCTGCTGTGTCCCTGTCCTGGACCCCACTGCCATGCCCCCCTGGGGTGCGGGGCAGCCCCGTCTAGGCTTCTGCCATATACTTGTTGATCTACTCGGGTTGACATCTGTCCCACTCGACCATCCAGCCTCAAGGGCAGCCAGGTGCCCTCCTGGAGGCTGAGAGGCGGCAGGGGGAAGGAGTCGAGTGCCCTCTGAGTGGCGCCAGGCGTGCCAGTCTTTTGCTAGACTTGTGTTACCCTCGGCTGAACTCCGTGCCCTGCAGGCCTGTCATTTCCCAATCATAATCTCCTCTCTCTTGATTCCCCTTGAAAAAGTCCAGCGCTGTTGTCCTCCTCTGGAGGTGCCTGAGGAGCTTGGCATTCTTGCTGCCCGGCCACTACCCTTCCTCAGCCTCTTGCAGCAAAACAAGAAGGCTCCCAGCTCAGAGAGGGGGGTGCCCCTGCCCAGGGCACCTCTGACTCACGGCTCTCTTCCCTCGCCCCAGTGCCTCTTGTTTGTCCCACAGCCACGTCCAGGGCCGAGCTGTGAGCCCCGGCCCTCAGCCCTCCGTGCACGTGTGCGCCTGCCTCGGCTGAGCTGCATCTTCTACTGGGGAGATTGGAGCTTTGTACAAGAGGAAGAACAAATCCAGCAAGCCCCTCCTTGAGCACTAGAACTTGCCCTCGAACACAGCAAGAGGGCTGGGGGAAGGACACGATGCACAACTTGGTGAGGACAGAAGACCTCGTGAGAGCTACAGCCTACCCAGAAACAGCATGGGATGTGGACAGGGAAATAAGATGGTCTGTGATAGAGGTGGAGCTTAGGAGAACCCAAAACCCCACAGAGCATGGCAGAGGCTCTCCTGCTTAAAGGAGAAAGAGAATCAAGTTAAAAAAAAATCCTGAATATCCTTTTCAAGTAGTTCCTTCCTCAAAGCCAGCCAGGTTTGAGGAGGCAGTCTTAGGAACTGGGCAGTTGGGAGAAGGAAGTCTAGGGCATAGAGATTTCTTGTGAATGGGGAGTTCCTCTCTAAAAGAGAAAAGGATGTAAATTTTAAAAAATCCTGAATATCCCCCTGCCAAAAAAAAAAAAGAAAAAAATTCCTCCCCACAGCCACATTCAGCTGTGAGTTTTGGAGGGGCGGGGCAGAAGTGGGTGACTCACCTGGGCCGGCTGGCCAGCCCCGGAGGGGGCGGAGTCGCCATGCAGGTGGGAGCAGAGGGAGCTGAGGAGGCAGACGGGGTCCACGGTCCAGCTGCCAACCTGTGTGTGTGAAGCGGGGGACACCCCATTAGGGGGAGCGGGCAGCAGCCGCTGGGGCACAGGGCTGGGGCAGAGAGGGGCGCTCCTAGGGCTCCAGGCCAGCCGGGCCCTCACCTGAATCTCTCACTGCACCTCTGTTTCTGGGGGTCCCTCCACTCTGTGAAATGCCCCTGCAGTTTTTTCTTGTCCCACCTCCCTGCTACCCAGGGCATGGAGCAGCTGCTAGTCCTGAGGCTGGCATCCCTGGGTTTTCCAGGGATGGGTAGGGCTGGCTGCCTCTATTGCCACAGCTCCTCTGGCTTCCTGGCCACCTCAGTGCCAACGACTTCCTTCGCCTGACCCCAAGGCCTGAGGTCAGGAGAACTGCCCCTTTCCCATGCTCCCCCCTTCCTCCTCAGATGACCCTGTCCTTTCCTGGCAACAGGCCAGGCAACACCACCAGGCCTCAGAATGGTATGCTCCAGGGCCAGAGGACTGGCAGTAGCTCCCATCAGCTTGCATGCTAGGGGAAGGGACAGCTGTGGGACAGAAGACCGGAGGATGCCTGCGGGGGAGCGATTGTACCAAGCACCGCCTGGCCTCTTGGGCCCACTCAGGCCAGTGAGCTGTGGGATCTCTCTCATGCTTTCTGTCCCAGGAGGAGCTGCTGCCCCAATGTGACCTTCAACTTTTCCTGGCCAAATCTCCCCAGAAGGATGGGCTATGCTCAGGGGCTCCTGTACCCTCAGCACCCCTAGCCTCCTTCACCTCCTCCATCATGTGAAACAGTCTCTCTCGACTCCAGCTCCAGTCCCGTGCAGATCGCCCTCCTGCTGCCTCAGGTGCCAGGGGCTGTTGTCCCCTTCTCAGACCCCATCTTGCCCATGGTCACTCTCAAGATCCCTCCTGACATGCCAGCCATTAGCTGCATGCCCACACAACCCCTCACGCACTTCGCACCCACCCGATGCCAACCCTCCCGGCATCTCCCAGTCACTAGGTCTTTCTGCCTTGGCCTCCTGCATCTGATGTCCATCAGTAGTGACCCTGGCTCAGTCTTCCCTCCACCCACCCCCTCCCATGATTGTCCCTTCCTTTTCTCTTCCTCCCCCCCCCCCCACCGCCTCTTGCCTCCCTCTCTGTCCTACGCAGCCATGGTCCCCCTGGCCTTCTGTATTCCCCTGCTTCCCACCCCATGGGCCCCATGCCACTGTCCCAGACCAGCTTATACCACCCACGTGCGCACATACCCCACTCCAAAACAACAGCCTCTTCATGGACACCTGGACACATCCTTCTGAGCCTAATACAGGTACCTCCTTCTCCAGGCCTGTCCAGCTGATCTTACTTCCTCAACACTCCTTCTCAATGAGAAGCCTGCCTCTTCCCCAGGTGATGGACAAGTGTCCCTGCCTTTCTCCCCAAGCTACAGCAGACAGGAGAAGCCACAGTGAGGGATGTCCTGAGGGGGACATCCACAACCCAATAACACCTCTCCCAGATCCATATCTGGACCCTGCCTGCTACCAAGAGGACATGGGAGCTGGGAGAAGGGAAGAGACAAGCAGACTGGAGGTAGCCTTGGGGGCCAGAGAAGGGACTGGAAACATGTGATGTGTCCAGTGAGGGTAGACGGGGGATGCTGTCCCACTGCCCAGTCCCACCCAAATCAGCAGTGCAGGAAAGGGAGACAGAGCTCGATTGGTGTGGGCGAGGCTCCCCAGGATTCACTGAAAGGATGCTGCCAGGGCATTGCATCCACCTGCCGGGGGGCACAAGCCAGAGTACAGAAAGCAGCCTTGGCGGTTCCAAGATGACAAAACCTGCTCACAGACTGTCCCTCAGGCCCCCCATGCCAACCCTCCTGGCATCTCCCAGATGGGGATGTGGTTTAAAAGGGAAGCATCCCGCCCCAGTTGGGAGACAAGTCTGGGCCAGGGCTACATCCACTTTGGGGGAAAAAAACCAGCTTCAAATCACACAGCAAGTCTTGGTGGGTGGAACATAGAGAGGAGGGAAAAGCCCCACCTCAGCTCTGTACCTATAGAGACCCAGGACACATCGGATTCAATCTACTGCAACCCCCAAACCCTGCTTTCTCTTAGGGTTCATGTCACAGCCAGGCGATGCCATGTGTCCCAGTCCCACCCAGAAGCACCCTGAACTGGTGTTGGGGGAGCCGGTCCTGGGGGCTGCCCTTCCCTCCCTGTCTCCTGGATTTTCTTCTGCCCCGCCTCTTGCTCCCAACAGGTATGGAGGTCCAGCCCAACCTGCTTGCTTCCACTCCAGGCTCCAGAAAAATACCAGTTTGGGCCACTGGCCAGCAGGAGGGCCTCCTCCTGTTCGCCCCTCAGCCTCAGATGGCTGCTGTGGGAGCCTGGGGTCAGCCCCACAGTCCCTCCGCAGCCCGACCCCACTCACCTGCTCCCGCATCCTCTCCTGCTGGCCTCGAAGGGCCAGGGCGTGCTGGGGGTACTTGCTCTTCAGGTGGTCCATGAAGGCATCGCGCTTGCGGTCGGCGTCCGCCTTCTGGAGCCCGCTGAGCGCCTCCAGGCTCTGGGCAGCGATTACCGTGTGCCGCCGCTCCGAAGTGTGCACCAGCCCCACGTTGGAGAAGCGCCGGCCCCCGCCGCCCCCGCCGCCCCCACCCCCCAGGGTCCGGTACTCCCGCGGGTACTCGGCATCGTCGGCAGACAGCATAGGGGGGCTGCTCCGCTCGGGATCTGCGGGAGGAAAAAGGGCCGAGGTGGTGGGGTCAGGACGTGGCCCCAGTCCCTGCCGGGGAGGGGCCTGCAGGGTGAGGCAGGGCGGAGGGAGGAAGGAGCATAGATGTGGTGGGAAGGGGACCCCAAAGGAGAAGAGGGGTGCAAGGCAGGCTACAACTCCCGCCTCCTCCTGAGTTGGAAGAGAGCCTGACTAGGTGTGAGGGAGAGTAGCGCTGTCCTTTGAGACCATAGCCAGGGTTATGCACCCCAAGTCCGCTTTCTGAAGCTGGTACAGCAGTGATGCCCCCTGAAGGATGAGAGAGGAAGGGACCGCCTTCCTCTCTCTAGACAGCTTCCAAGGAGGGACGCTGGGCAGCCTCCACCCTCAGACTAGCCTCCTCAAGGTTGGGGGCTCCCTGGGACAGGGGCCGGGGTTAGGTGGGTAATGAGGGCAGGGACTGGGGTAGAGGGTCCACTTAGCCCCCACCTCTTCACCACCCTCCTCCCCATGCCCCGAGACAGACAGATGAACAGACAGGAGAGGACAGTGAAGGATGGATCAGGAACAAACTGACAGGAGAGAGAAAGCAGACAGAACAGGTCACTACTGCCCGTCCCCTACCACAGCTTCTGCTCCCAACACACACGCTCCAGACCCTAAGAGACGCACAGGGGACAAGGACAATACAGAAGCAGAAAACGGAGAAGGCCGGGGGTGCAGTACCCACACAGAATTCTAGTTCGTGTCCCCCGAATGCCTCCTGATCTTGAGCCTTCTCACACTGTCCCTCGCCCTCCAGCCTGGCAGTGTCCACCCATGCCACCAGAGGGTGGGAGGAGCCGCCGGGGACCTCCCCGCCATATTCCTGAGGCTAAAACTGAGATCTGCCGGCAGATTCCACAGCAGTCACCCCTGCTGGGAGGTGAGCACCATCTCCCTTGCACGCCTGCCCCCCATTCACCCGCTCCCCTCTTCCCCAAGCAAACACAGCCTAGGCCTGGGCTGTAGCAGGCAGGTCCCACACCCCTGACTCACAGTGGCACCTTCAAGGGCAGCCGGGGGCCAAAGGGGACCAGGCTGGGCATTCTGGAACTCGGTTGGGACAGCCAGTGCCCCTCCTCCCTGCACAGACACCCACTGTCCATCAGGCCAGCTGCCAGGCCACAGGCAGCCCCGCCCAACCGCAGCGGGAAAGAGGAGGGTGAGCCACATTTCAGGAAAAGGCACCACCAGCTTTGCACACACATATGCCTTCCTGGTGTGTTCATCTGGGGCGTCAGGCTCCCAAGTCCACAATACTGTCACAGTCATCTCAAACACAGCCCCCAAGGCTGAGAGAGGGATGGTGACATGCCGCGGCCCTAGTGTGAGACCCCAGGATCCACTGGATCCTCTCAGTGGGAGCTGACTGTCTGGGCTTCCCCCATCCCCCATCTGTCATCGTCCTCTGTTGCTGTCCCCAAGGCCAGGCTCAGACACACAGCAGTCACTTCTGGGAGAACATTGTGTTATGGTTTAATAATTATGCTTTTATTTTCATAAGGATCAGAACCCCTAACCAGAAGGTCAAACCACTGATTTTATAACTACTACTCTTTGGGTGCCAATGACATGCGGCTTCCTTTTTAGGTATACTTAAGTTCAAGCTATTGGAGGAAAATGCTGAATGAACATGCTTCAGCCATTCCATACCATGGTTCTTGCTGGGGCCAGAAACTTCAGGGCCACCTTAGGGAGGGCCCCACCACCATTCTCCAGGGGTTCATGGTCACTAAAGGCAGCCAGTGATTGTGGCTGGAAAGGAGTGACCTGAATAATGCACCCACAAGAAGGCTGGGAGCATGGGGTCTGCAGAGAAGTCCCAAGGTCAGGGGTGGCCCTATGGTCCCCCACTCCTCCCTCGAGGCCAGCCAGCTAGCCTGGCTCCCCACCCCCAGGACACTGGATCGTGTGGATGCCACCGGGGCAGGCTCCAATATCATCTTCCACCGCTTCCCTCCTGGCCTTTTGGACCCAGGAGACCTCTGAACCGCCTCTTCCTGCCCTCCACCCCCCATGTCAGCAGGTGCCTTAGTACCAGGTTCTGATGCTCACTCAGGCAGGCCACAGCAGGAAGGGGACCTCTGGGTGGAAGCCATGAGGGTGTGCTTTAGGAGGCTGGCAGGGGAGAGCAGACCAGGAACTAAATCCCTCACTGCCTGGTGGACTTTGGAGTTCACCCTGCAGGTTTCCAGGCATGCAATGAGGGTAGCACAGGAGGTGAAAGCTGGGGGTTGGCAAAAAGGGAGAGGAGGAAGTGGGAAAGGCAGCCTCTGGCAGTTTTTGGGGAAACTGAGAAAGGGGAAAGCTGGGCCAAGAGAGGAGCTGAGGGTGGGAGAGCTGCTGCCCACTCTGGCTGTCTGTATTTAACTCCTTCCTGCTGTGCCCTGCTGGCTCAAGACCAAGGTCTGCAGAAAGACCCTGGGCCAGAGACACCTCAATGTATTCGACTCCACCCCGTAGGACCCCAGATTGGCTGACCCCTCCCATGTCCACGCAGATAATTGTGTCTTCCCTTTGGGAGAGAATCTGTAAAATGGGGATCTTTCACTGCATTCCCTTCCCAGGGCACAGAGGCACAAACTGGCAAGACTGTCAAGGAGAAGGGATATTGTTTTTCAGAAAGGGGCTTCCTGATCTGGGGCAGGCAGGGCCCCCAGCAAGTCCTGCAAAGGCCTGGACCCTGCCCCAACTGAGCAGCCTGGGGGAAGAGCTGGGGAGATCCATTGCAGGGCAGCAAGAACCAGGAGCCAGCATGGATGCCTCAGTGACGGGCGAGGGACACCAAGGGAGAAGGGGTGACAGGGCAGGGCACCCAGGGATGGAGTAGCAGAGCTGGGGTGCACTTAGGAGGGGTGGAGTTGGGGGAGCAGAGGAGCAAGGTGAGGGACTGTGAGGGCTTCTTTGCAGGGATCATGAACCAGCAAGGCCCCTGGTCAGGGACTCAAAGCTACAGGGAAGGCACTGGGGGGTGGCAAAATGTAGCGTGGAGAAGGGGGCTTAGCCTGGCTGGCCTGGGAAAAGCAGAAGGGGAAAGAACAGTGCTCTGGGCTTGGGTGACGGAAGAGGCGGGCGCTCCCCAATGGCCGGCCTGGAATAAAGACACAGGTGCTTGGGAAGGGACGTGATTTGTTCAAGCGACGCTCAGATTCCACGTTTATTTATGAGCCTGATTTATTTTTGTCCGCTGCTGCATTCTTTCACATGAGATCACTGTGACTCGTTATGAGAATTAAGACCCAGCGGCTTGATGATACCATCGCGTGAAGCATCAAGTCCGGTCCCACCTGGCGCCTTTACCCCAGATGTCACCATCTACTCTGTCCTCAGCCTGCCTGTCTGCCTGCCTGCCCGCCGGACAACATTCACACATGACATCATCTGCAGGGTGAGGGGGTGGGAGGAGGATGATAGGAAGGGGAGAGGCAGAAGAGACAAAGAGATAGTCAAGGAAAAGCGGTGTTCCTGCCGGCTGCACTCACCATTCTCCAAGCTTGTCACCCCTCCACCCACTACCCCCAATCTCCCTTCTGATGGAGGTCAGGAGGAATCCAGACAAAGCCCCTTCCTTGGGGACCCAGAGGCAGGCTTGACCTGGGCTGCAAGTCCTGAGGATCACACCACCAACAAGGAGCCCACGGGCCCTGGGACTAGCAGGCAGGGGAGATGTGTGCGGGGATGCTGGAAGGGCAGGGGGCCTGCTCAGGACCCCAGAATGCCTTGTGCACACACATGCTTTCTCTCTCTCTCTCTCTCTCTCTCTCTCACACACACATACACACACACACAGAAGCAAGCACTTAGCACCAGCCCCCCTGGCTCCATTCTCTGCAGCCAAAGCGAGCAGAGCCCAAGTCCCCCGGCAGCATCCCTGAGGCGCTGCCACCATTAATTGTGCTTGACAACTCCATCCTACTGGGTACCTGCTGTGGTTATCACGTGCACTGTCCTTGAAGGTCGGAGGCCACGGGGCAGAGGTCCACAAGGGGCTAAGGTTGTGGCCAGATCAGCAGAGGCCAAGGAAGGAAGTGGCTCTTGGTGCCCCAGCTCTGTCCTGGCCCCCGCCGCCTGTCTCTGGACTTCGGAGAGGAAGCCCCTCCGTGTCTGTTTTCCAAAGCCATCTTTCCGCCCCATCCCACAGCAACCAAAGTCATTTTCCAGGCAATTGCCTTTCTGTAAACATTGCTGGGTAATATCCCCCCAAATTGCTAATGCCCAGCGCCCTGTTGAGTTTTCCTGTCACTCCCACAAAAGCCTCTGAGGTGGCAGGGCAGGGGGGAAAGGAGAGAAGGGGCAGCTGTGCTAAGAAGCAGGGGCAAAGACTTATGTGTCCTTCCTGGTCATCATCCCACACACCTGTGACCCCTAGGACCCCTTGGAAAAGCTTATCTGGGCCGAGAGGGAGCTGACCTGAAGTCGGGGGCACATGACCACACAATCAATGTGATCGCCTCTGGTCCAGAAGAGAGTTACGAAGGAGATGGGCAAAACTGGGCAAGCTGTGGTGGCTGGGTCCCCAAGAAAGGCTGGCTCCCTTGCATTCCCCCCCCCCGCAACAGGTAATGAAGGAAGGACAGAGAATGGGGAAAAGGTCAGTTGGAACCCCAACATTTGGCCCTGCCAAGAGGATCCCTTCATACCACCTGGGCACTATAGTGGACGGGGAAAGTGGGAGAGCAGGAAGGTGGCAGGGTCCCTTCCTCCAGCACAGAGACTCGACAGGGGAGGACTGGAGCAGGTGGACCCTCAGAAGATAGCCAAGGAAACAGCCAAGCCAGAGCTTCTCTTGTCCCCAGAGATGGCCCTGGGACAGTAGCCCATACTCCCATGCTGGCTTCTTCAACACTTGTGCTTAAGCTAGAGTACCCTGCAGCTGCAACCCCAAGCCCAGGGGAAGTGGGAGTCCAGGCCAGATCAGACCAGGGGAGAGGGTGCAGTGCCCTGGAAGGAGCCAGAGAGGAGGAGAACCTAAGGGGGT